TATCCAGGGCTCATGTATGAGATTACTAACAAGCATTACTGAATAATCAGATGAGGGACAGTTTGCTATGTCTACTAGGTGGCTAGAGTCTGATCCTCAGAGCCTATGGTTTGGACGGTCAACAACGCTTGGGCCCACAGAGGCTTGGCCTCCTGACCGGGTCTGTACTCTCTGCATCTGAGTCCTCCTTATTTATTGACTGATTGTTTAAGGGACGCTGCCTGTCTTAGGTGGTCAGTGTAAATTCCTCAGTCTTAACCAGTCATTGAGACTCATTGCAGCATGGCAATGTCTCTGTCTTAAGTAGCCGAGGTTCCACGTGATCCTTACCCGTCTCTGGCCACACGTCCAGCATAAACAGCTGCCATCCGAGGAAGGCAGGGAGGGAGGAGATCAGCTGGGGACCCCATGCGCCCGACGTTGCTGGCCCACCACCTGCTCTAAGGTGACCAAGCAGGATCACTGTGCTGAGGTTCAATCCAGTTCTTAGGGGATCTTACTCTCTAGCATGGGTAGCAAATGAGTAGCCACTCAGTATTCACTTGGAGAATTACTTATATCATAAATTTGAGCATGTAGCTGATGAATATCCCGACAAGTGTATATTGTTCCACAACCTCCTACAATGCTGTTGGACTAAGTTCCAATCAATTTCTGGGTTACTGAGCTACATCTTGATGCTGATTGCTTCCTAGTAGCCATCGGGTCGGTAAATGTGGTGGTTTCCATTCCCTAGAGCTCGGGGCTGCTGCCCTCTCAACCCATGCCAAGCCGGCGACGAAGCCTGAAGCGGACCCTGTGGATAATGAAGCCGTGGCCCCCGAATTCACCAACCGGAACCCCCGGAATCTGGAGCTCTTGGCAGTCGCCAGGAAAGAACGGGGCTGGAAGACGGTGTGGCCCTCTCGGGAGTTTTGGCACAGGTAACGCAGCCGACGCTCTGTACGGTCAACAAACGCTTCTCCAACCTTTACCTTGGCAGGTACTGTGCGGGGGACTGCCGGGACAGGACGCTGACGGAGTGGAAGGAGCCGTGGAGAAACGAGGCTACCCGAGTGAGAGACTGGATGCCTAAGACGTCTCTGAGGAGATGACACTTAAGACAACTGAGCTCTGAAAGCTGAGGAGGGGACCAAAGGGTCTGTGTGGAATAGCAGAGGAGACCCCAGGTGTAAAAGTATACCCGAAGGCCTGTAGGCAAAGGGGATGCGAATGGCAGAGCGGATAGGGGACAGATTTACCTTTGTCAGTCAAGGGTACAGTTTAAACTGTGCATGTATTTTCACTGCAGTGGAAAGTTAGATGTTTTTAAGGTTTGAGTTTGAATTATATGGGTTTTAAAGATCCTTCTAACTGTATTGGACAGAATATATTTATAAGGGGACAAGAGTAGAAGATAGATGACCAGTTTTAAAAATAACGCCAAACTACTGCTATCCAGTTGATTCTGACCTTTAGTGGTCCTGTGGTGATGTGCTGTGGAGTCGGTTCCGACTCATAGTGACCCTGTACCGGGTTTCCGAGGCTGTAAATCTTTACAGGAGCAGAAAGCCTCATCTTTCTCCCACGGAACAGCTGGTAGTTTCGAACTGCTGACTTTAAGGTTCACAGGCCAGTTTGTAACCACGAGGCTACCAGAGCTCCCTAGTAACCCTGTAGGAGAGCAGAACTGTCCCAAAAGGTTTCCAAGGCTGTGATATTTCTAGCAGCAAACCCCCACATCTTTCTCTGGAGGACTGGCTACATACCTTCTCATTTCGTCCTTAAAACTATGAGGTGATAGAATTTTTGCATTTTATGGGGCAGGGGAATTGGAGCTTAGGGAGACTTAAATAACTACCTCAAAATGACATGATTATACTAAGTTCCTGAACTAAGATTTAAACTTGTTCTCTCTGACCTCACAGCCAAGGCACTAAATTATTACCACTTAGGTGCCATCGAGTTGGTACCGACTCAGTGACCCTATGTACAACAGAACGAAACACTGCCTGATTTTGGGCCAACCTCACAATTGTTGCCAAGTTTGAGCCCATTGATGCGGCCACTTTGCCAATCCATATCGTTGGGGGTCTTCCTCTTTTTCTCTGACCTCCACCTTACCAAACATGATATCCTTCTCCAGTGACTGTCCCTCCTGACAATATGTCTGAAGTATGAGAGACGAAGTCTGGTCATTCTGGCCTCCAAGGAGCACTCTGTCTGCACTTCTTCCAACACAGATCTGTTGGTTCTTTAGGCAGCCTGTGGCACTTTCAGTATTCTCCTCCAACACCATAACTCAAATACTGTACTTTAATTTATATGGGGAAAACTGAGCATTCCCATACCCAAAAATGAAGTCCTGGTGTGATGTGCTCTAGGATAAACACTGGACTTCTAACCACAAAGTTGGTGGTTCAAACCCACCAGCCTCTCCTAGGAAAAACCTATACAGGGCCACTGTGACTTAGAGCACACTTGACAGCACTTAACAGCAGGCCCCCACATCCCTAACAGACAACACACAGAAGCCGAGACAGCACTAACATGCGGTGTTTATAGACAGTTCAGAGTGATGGCAGCTTGATGAGGAAAGGCCGAGTATCGTTCTCGGGGAAGGAGCATGGTGAGGCTACTCTGGCTGCCTAGGGTGCCTGCCACTTGCTGCACAACAAGCATTGCTTTCTAG